AGATAGATAGATAGATATTTAGACTGACAGACATATAGACATATATCCTTCCTTTAATAATATAGGAATTTGGTCTAACAGAAGAACAGAATTGGAAGGGACCTTGGAGGTCTTCTACTCCAATCCCTTGCTCAGACAGGAGACCCTAGACCAGGGGGTAGGCAACCTTGGCTCTTTTATGACTGGTGGACTTCAACTCCCAGAATTCCTGAGCCAGCCATGCTGAGGGGAAAGGGAGAGGTTTCCAAGCTAAGCCATGCTGGCTCAGGAATTCTGGGAATTGAAGTCCACGAGTCATAAAAGAGCCAAGGTTGCCTACCCCTGATCTAGATCATGATTTGATGAGTTTAGATCAGGGCTAGGCAACCCTGACTCTTTTATGACTCATGGACTTCAACTCCCAGAATTCCTGAGCCAGCCATGCTGAGGGGACAGGGAGAGGTTTCCATATTGAGCCATGCTGGCTCAGGAATTCTGGGAATTGAAGTCCACGAGTCATAAAAGAGCCAAGGTTGCCCACCCCTGATCTAGATCATGATTTGATAAGTTTAGACCAGGGGTAGGCAACCTTGGCTCTTTTATGACTCGTGGACTTCAACTCCCAGAATTCCTGAGCCAGCCATGCTGAGGAGAAATGGAAGGGTTTCCATACTGAGCCATGCTGGCTCAGGAATTCTGGGAGTTGAAGTCCACCAGTCATAAAAGAGCCAAGGTTGCCCTACCCCTGCGCTTCGACCATTTCAGAAAATGTCTGCCCGGTCTATAATCTAACCATCTTCTTTATTCATGTCGGAAGCACCTACAAATTATACACGTACAACGCTCAACCCCGAGCAAAATAAAATAGGGGTAAAATAATCTATAACCTAACCGTGAGCTTGAAGAAAGCGCTGCGAGATTGTTTTTGTTTAATGTCATACCCCATGTGCCTCCTTTTTTATCTCTGTCTCCCATCCCTCTTTCTCTCTTCCCCTTGGCCAGGCAGATGAATGTTCTTGTTTAAATCAGTCTGTTTGAAAGACTGTTTGGGAGTGGAAAAAGGGAAAAAAGAGGATTCCCCCGAGAACACATTACCCTGCCTTGTTTATAATCCAATCCAATTGGCTTATCTCAGAACTGACTGGAGACCAAAATCACTTTCCCCCCCTCCAGCTATCAGTATCTTGCAGGTTGCTACGATACACAATCAAGTTTGGTTATTTTTGATTATTGCTTTGCTGGCTTGTGTATATCTAACAACACTACACGATGCCTTTGGAAGCCCATGCCTGTCCTTTCCTTTGTCGGCGAACATAAGGCATAAATATTCTCAGGGTCTTCCCAGGGGAGAAGGAGGGACCACTGAGTCCTCAGCCCCCTCTTGGTGGGAGGGGGTTTGTGACCAAGGGGGTGGGAGGGTTTCTGGAGAAGAAGACACTTGGGACAAGCCTAGGGTTGAAAGAATGAAAAGGAAAAAGGCTTCCTTGATTTGCCTTACAGTGGGATGTTGGAGGAAGGGAAGGGAAGGGAAGGGGGGAGGAAGGAAGGAAGGAGAGATGGGAGGGAGGGAAGGAGGGAAGGAGGGAAGGAGGGAAGGAGAGAAGGGGGAAGGAAGGAAGGAAGGAGAGAAGAAGAAAAAGGGAGGGAGAGATGGGAGGGAGGGAGGGAGGGAGGGAAGGAATGAGAGATGGGAGGGAGGGAAGGAGAGAAGGGGGAAGGAAGGAAGAAGGAAGGAAGGAAGGAGAGAAGGAGAGAAGGAGAGAAGAAAAAGGGAGGGAGAGATGGGAGGGAGGGAAGGAAGGAGAGATGGGAGGGAGGGAAGAAGAGAAGGGGGAAGGAAGGAAGGAAGGAAGGAAGGAAGGAAGGAAGGAAGGAAGGAAGGAAGGAAGGAAGGAAGGAAGGAAGGAAAATTTGGTCTAACAAAATAACAGGAGGCATCTTATGAATATATGAGGAGAAAAAATAAATTTCTTATTTTTCTCGGAGAGGAACGGTGTTGTTTCCAAAGCATGGTTCTTCCTTTTTTACTTTTCATCTTGAAAAAGAGATGGATGGATGGATGGATGGATGGAAAGATAGTTAGACTGACAGATAGGTGTACTCTTCCATAAAAAATTGAGTCTAACAGAATAACACCGTTGGAAGGGACCTTGGAGGTCTTCCAGTCCAACCCCTTGTTCAAACAGACCCTAGACCTTTTCCGAGACCCTAGACCTTTTCCGACAAATAGTCATCCAGTCTCTTCTCAAAAGCCTCCAGTGATGGAGCACTCACAACTTCTGGAGGCAAGCTTGTTCCATTGGTTAATTGTTCTATCAGGAAATTTCTCCTTAGTTCTAGGTTGCTTCTCTCCTTGGTTAGTTTCCATCCGTTGCTTCTCGTCCTGCCTTCAGAAGGTGCTTTGGAGAATAGCTTGACTCCCTCATCTTTTAGGAGCCAGTAGAACAGGAGGATGCTGGTTTTTGATTCAGCAAGCTCAGGTTAATAAATTCCTGGCCCGCTGAGGAAGTCCTTTGGTCTCTCTCTGGCTAAACTACTTTACAAAGGGGTTGTAAGGAAGCCACCAGCTTGCAGATCAGAATCGGAAAGTGGACAGAAGAAGACGAAGACGAAGACGAAGAAGAAGAAGAAGAAGAAGAAGAAGAAGAAGAAGAAGAAGAAGAAGAAGAAGAAGAAGAAGAAGAAGAAGAAGAAGAAGAAGAAGAAGAAGAAGAAGAAGAAGAAGAAGAAAGAACACAAGTCAAAACAAATAATAAACTGGTGAAGGTGAGGTTACTACAGCTGATAGTTTATCTCCCCTCTGTGACCTTTGAATTCTTATTTGCTGTGTGACTTTCTTCTCCGAGAATTGGGGCTTGCCGTTCCGATAAACCCCGGATAAATCATGGACTCTTTTTTTAAAAAAAAACAAAAAACCTTCGGAGGGAGTTTTTAACTGCATTATCTTGGCCACCAGCAGAAGCCTTCAAAGGCCTGGCAAATTGCTAGCCTATCTTGTAAGCTGATGCTATCTGGAGAAACTTTATAGCTGCAGCGCCTGTGAAATTAGACGCCCAGATTGTGGTGGCATCAAAGGCCTGCCAGTTCCGAGAATCGCTCAGCTGCTTTCTCCCTCTCGCTCTCTCTTTTTTTTCCCCCAGTTTTCTCCCTTCCTCGATCTTTCTAAAACACAGTTCTCCACCTTTCCTTGTCCAGTAGTGTCAGGAGATCTTACAGGAGGCACTTAAGCTCCCAATTGCTGCCATTTCCCCCGTCTCTGCTTATTCTTTGTTGGTTGGAGGTTGATGAGGAGAGGAGAAAGGACTTGAAACTGTGAATCAGAATTTCATCTCTCTGCTTCTTGAGAAGCAAGCTCCAAATGGCCCCTCTTCTTCCTTCTTCCCTCCTTCTTTCCTTCCTTCTTCATTCCATCCTCCCTCCCTCACCCCTTCCTTCCTTCCTTCCTTCCTTCCTTTCTCCCCCTTCCTTCCTTCCCTTCCGTCCTTCCTCCCTTCCTTCCTTCCTTCCTTCCTTCCTTCCTCCATCTCTCTCCCACCCTTCCTCCCTCCCTCCCTCCCTCATCCCTTCCTTCCTCCCCCTTTCTTCCATTCCTTCCTCCCTCCCTCCTTCCTTCCTTCCTTCCTTCCTTCCTTCCTTCCTCCCCCTTCCTTCCGTCCTTCCTCCCTCCCTCTCTCTCTCACCCTTCCTTCTTCCCTTCCTCCCTCCCTCATCCCTTACTTCCTCCTTCCTTTCTTCCTTCCTTCCTTCCATCCTTCCTCCCTCTCTCTCTCACCCT